AAATTCAAAAGGATCGACGGTGGCGCCACCAGTGGCAAAACGCTCAAACTGGTAGCCAAATGTTACCGATATGGAAATTCAAAAGGATCGACAGTGGCGCCACCCGTGGCAAAACGCTCAAACTGGTAGCAAAATGTTACCGATGTGGAAATTCAAAAGGATCGACGGTGGCGCCATCCGTGGCAAAACGCTCAAACTGGTAGCCAAATGTTACCGATGTGGAAATTCAAAAGGAACGACGGTAGCGCCACCAGTGGCAAAATTCTAAAACTGTTAGCCAAATGTTACCGATGTGGAAATTCAAAAGGTATAGCTAATTTGTCAATAATGTTAGTTGCAATTTGTAAATGAAGTTAATTTCTGTTTATTAGAAATCGTTCAATAGATTTTAAATTCTTTTGTTAATATTCGTGATATTCTTTTTGTAAATATTCAGTTAGAAACAAACCGTCATAGAAGTAGGACGATAAAATATTTCATTATAATTTAGTGGACATTGTGAATAAATAATACATTGAATAAAGAAAAGCCACAGTGTTGTATTCTATGGGACATCTGTACGAAGTTCAAAGTTCGTATCTAAGGAGTGGTTTTCTAGGTCGATAAAGTAGTCGACGGAGATCGTGAATGTGTTAGAGTGTTCGGTCTATTCTGATATCTTCTCAGTGATACTTTCATAGTAGTGAAAAAATAATTGCGATGTCTCATATGAAAGGTACATTAATGAAACTGGAATTATTCAAAGTGGGCCTTGTAGTCGACTTTTACTCGTAAAAAGTTGTCGGTTTTAATTTTCCAACAGCACTTTGACAGATGTTGATGAATGGATCAGTAATGATCCATACGGATATTTAATTTTTGTATTCTATAAGTTATGTTTATCATCGCTCTGTCAAATACAATATTATTTTTTACGTAAATGCTAGCTATTACATAAGAGTCATAAGATATATTAAATTCATGTAATGATACATTAAATTGTTCCTAACCACACTGAAAATTCTCGTTTTATGGTTCGATTAAGGAGGCAGAAAAAATCATTCTCACGGCAGTAAAAAGGGCCACCTCGGCGAGAAAGGAAAAGAGATAGCGCAAAATGTCGACGAAGATAGTCTGGTCATGCGACAATTCCGAGCTTATGGAGCGGAATTAGATGACAAAAACGATCGCTTCGAGAGGATTTTGAAAATTTGTAGAGACATCACGATAGAAAGTAAAAGAATCATCTATCTTTTACACACCATAGACAATGAAAGCAAACAAGGAAGTATATTGAATCAGGCTAAGACAAAACTACAGAATGTTGCACAGAATCATTTTAAACGCATTGCACTGGAACTTGAGAAGGAAGGTCCTTATCAATATTTAAAAGCATATCGTAGTAGTTTAGAAGAATACATAGAAGCAGTTACCTTTTACCAATATTTGCATAATGATGAATTGGAAGGTTGGTCAGAAATAGAAAAAATGATCACTTACACGATTACAGACAAACCTGAACCAAGGACTATACGTACTTTGGTCACACCACGCGAATATATCTTAGGAATAGCAGATCTGACTGGAGAACTAATGCGCAAATGTATCAATAATTTAGGAACACAAGATATTGACAATTGTTACCAAATATGCAACTTTGTCAAAAAGATGTATACAGGTTTCCTTAGTTGTACACATTTTTCTAATAAAGAAATGAATAGGAAATTATTCACACTCGAACAGAGCCTTCATAAAATAGAAAATGTTTGCTATATCATTAAAGTCAGAGGTTCTGAAATACCAAGGCACATACTTATAGATGTAGCAACTGAGAACTATGCAGAAAGTGATGAAGGATATCAGGGGTATTAATTAATTGCAAACATTCTAAAGTGATACAAATATTACAAGTATTCATTAAACTTCTTCATTTGTACAATTTATAATATTCACTTAACAACATTTGTATAAAATTTATTCATCAAATTAGCTGTATACTTATATTTCCATTAATATATAAAAATACTGCCTTTTCTTACAAATATATTTATAGATCTTAAATAGTTTTGTTTGATACCAGTGTCATAAAGCATTTTTTATAAAATGTATATTTTTATGTATTTTCATTTTTGTTATATTAAGTATTATAATAAGTGAATATGAATATGAAAATAAGTATTATATGTTAATATGAATTTCTAAATATGTATTAAATCTATATAAACAATCAAGAAATCTTTTTACAGTTTGCAATAAAAATATTCTTCTTAATCATCAGTTGTGTCATCCTCCCATTCCATTTCACTTTTATCATCGTATTCGTCGTCGTCCGAATTTTCCACATCACTAGATGGTTGATAATCAGATTCATCTACAGATTCTTCAACAGAATCATCTGAAAATGAATCTTCTAGATCAGATAAAGTATTTGAGGATGCTAGCGATGTTTTTTTACTGGCTCGTTTACGTTTGTCATTAGGTGCTTTTTGCATTGTATGTTTATAATCTTTTTTATGTTGAGGATTGGTACGATAACACTGTATACCGTAAGGACATTCTTTTCTGTTATCTATTGTATCATAATCAGAATCCATGGGATGACTGTATTTAGCTTTGTGTTGTGGATTTCTCCTATAAGAAAACAGTTTTTTTGTCAAAAGCCTTACAATAAGAGGACAGAATAAAGTTACCTATAACATTTGTCTCCATATTTGCATCTTTCTCTTATGGGTGTATCTGTTGGTACATTATCAGAGACATTTGGTTTATTTGCTTCCACTGAATCATGAGATTCTGTGCTTTCTGCTATAAGAGGTTTATCACTTTGTTCTGTTCCATTTGTTGAATTTCTGTTTTCATCATTGGAACTATTTTAAATGAACACAAAAAGATTAATTACTTAGAACTATGTTATCATTGAATATTAAATGTTACATTAAAATTAAAGTGTAACCTAAAGACTTGAGTTTTCTGAATGTTTGCTTCTGCTGATTCTGCATTACTTGATAAATTTGCTTCAGTCTTAACAGGCTCTTGGGTTTTTGCTGTGGGTATATTATTATTATCTACCAATACATCATTTGGTATGTTAATACATCCTAAATTATCTCCTTCCCCTGATTCTGAGCATAGCTTTTTGTGAGGTACATCACAACTTATATTCTCATTAGCCTAAATTTCATCAGTAAAAAACATGTAAAGACTAAAATATATTATCATTAGAACATTAATTTTATACTTTTCGTTTCTCTGTATTTTCCTCGTTAATTTCCATCATAGAAGGTTCTGATACCACTTTAAACCAACATTTCTCTGATACCAAAGAGCAAATGTCCCCTGGTTTGATTGGAACAGTAACACCCAACTTAAGAAGTTGCCACCGTGAAGTTTCTGTAGATTTCATGTAACACGATGAAACCTAGTAATAACACAATGATTCCTATAGAAAATTGTATAATGTTTCATTCAATTCTGGCAAAATCTTTGCAACCAATGATGCGTAGTAATTTGTGAGAACTTTAAGTTTACGTTACCGGTGTTATTGTCATGTCATTTTTTGATGACAAATTTATCGTTGCTGCGTACTTGTTGCTTTGACCATTGCTCCGCTGAAATTCCCGTAGATATAGAATCAGTTCAAAATAAAATGTATTTGAAAATTCTGTTAACACGAAATTCCGACGGTTAAACTTTAGGCGCAATAACGAAAGCCAACGGATGTCACGTGACCGAACCCGATCATTCACGCACGCGTGAAGAAACTTTTTACGCGTAACAGAAATTTCAAATTAATTTTCAACGAACCGAAATTGCGATGCAATTAATGCCAAGGTAATTATACCGCAAGACTATTTAACTTGACAGTTTTATTTTTAATTATTATTTAATGTAACTTGATCGTGTACTTACTTCAGACCCAACACTCGAACCAATAATATTGTTACCAATCTGTAAGTTTGTTTTTTCTACCAAATCATTATCCACGCGAAGCAATCGTAATTTTTTCATTTTGTCTGTCCACAGAATTTTCACTAAAATTTTAATTGTTTATATGGAGAAACTTTTCGCGAACCTGTAACAAAACACAATTTTTAACAAAGGACATGAAACGAAATTAATCATAGTTGGCTAAGTATATTGAGCGATTAAAAATTGATATACCTATACATTTTTTTTATATAAAACATATTATTAATATTATATTTGAACAGATATAATTCCTGAAACGATCGACTAAACTCAGGTAAACAGTGTGATAAATAAAGGTACACGGTGGAGTTAACAATCAAAATTTTTTCATTTATAATTACAAAGAATGTACACCTTTACAAACAAATGAAGTGAAATGCGAAGAGAATTACATATTCGATGCGATGTCGTAAAGCTCTGTGTGTCCTGTGTGTATGTGTGTTTGTGTGTATATATGTGTGTCTTATAAAAAAGTCGTCGAGTAGGAAATGATCAATGAATTTTTTACTTATTCGTTTAAATGTAATCAGCCAGATTGATCTGCCAATATAAAACGTAATTATCAAAATATCCTCTCGAATCGTTGTATGTATACTCGGTGTGAAACGAACAGCGATTCTAAACGACCGTGTCAAGCGAATAGCTAACGTTCGCTATTCATAATATCGTCGGCAAAATATTTGTCGATACATTCGCTTCCGATACAAAAGAAATCTTGTTCGCTTTACAGAACGAAAAACAAAGCATTTTATCCGGCATGATCAAAGCATTGGATTACTGGAATAATGAAAGAATTAATAACATCATCGTTCGGTCTCTGTTCGACTTCGATCAGTGCCAGATACGAAACAAGACGCACCGTTTATTTATTATGAATCCGTTCTGCTTACAATGTAGGAACATCATAAATCTCAAATTCGATCGATCAAACGCAGAGTTTGGTATTCAACAGGCCATTTCAGTTTGTTCTTTTCTTTCCTTCTTTCTTTCTTTCTTTCTTTAAAGTTCCTCCTAAAGTCAATCTTCAATTGTTCAATATGATAAATACAGGTTGAAGATCAATCATCATCATTCGTCTTATAGCACACGACAACGCGACTCACGACGTTTAATATAATTCTCACTTTCATGGCTTACAATTAGATAATTAATTAGTGTTAGCATACACACGTATCACAGCATACCTCCGGGAACTTGCCATATAAAAGATTAATGTTACAATGTTCGTCATTCTTAAAAAACGAGAATGCGCTGGGTATAAAATAACATATCGGATAAAAAGTTGGTAACTAAAAGACACAGTTATGTACAATCCTCCTTCGAATATTTCCGCTGAGAAAAATGACGGTCTCCGTTGTTCCGTTTAATGATACTTGGTAACTCATTAACGTAATTCTCGTAATGTAATAGAAACAGGATCTTATATACAGAATATTCAAGAATACCTGCTTTCTATATTATAGTTTCAATATTTTC